TGTTCGCTGAAATCACTGCATGATACTAACGCAACGTCTGATACTCCTATGAATACGAGCAATGCTTCTTAACACTGTTTAAAACCTAGAGCCTATTTTGCCTTGGAAAAATGTCGATCTGTTAGCAAAAGAGAAAGCTGAACATAAGTCAGTAAGAGGAATACCCAGATGTTAGCTATTCTTTTTTTGTGATTTTTCCCCACGCAAGCGCTGGAATAAGAGGACGTGAAAAAAAAAATTCATTAAACAGTAAGAGTTCACTTCAGAAGTGAACGAAATTGCAACAGGTCTGGTAACATACATGATACCAGCACTGCTGAGGGAAGAGGGGGTGAAGCAAAGAGCAGGGTCTGAGAGCTGTTACTTTCCCTCTTTTCTCTCATTCTTCAGGTATAGTAAGGGCCACGATGAGTTAATAAAGCAAAGGGGGTATCAGTAATTGGGTTTTAGAGTAGGAGCTAAGGTTTCTATGCGAGATTGAGAAACATGGGCTATTAGAGACTTGGGAAAAGGGAACAATGCTGTTATTTCTAGCGGTACTGAGATAGCAAACCCTTCCATCTATATTTGATACTTCTACTATTTTCATTTTCCCCACTGAAATAATTTTAATGCAAACATGCCAGCCTGGAAGAAAAGAACCATCTTTGTAGGTGGTGCTATGCTATTCCATCTTATATTCAGTTTCATTTCTTTTCCCTGTCCCTAGTGTTTATTAAGGGTAGAGGCAATGGATAACAAAATTTTTCAGTTTTGTCACAGACAACTTAAGGAAATTTAATTCATAGTTACTTCATGTTCTTTCTCAAAATTCAGATCACCCAACAAGAATTAGTGATTAAAAATGCAAAATAAATAGAATCAAAACTTGTAATATTAAGTGAGATTCTGTTTTAAAGGATGTGTAAATACCCGCTCCCCAAATTTGAGCAGATTGAATTCTCCATTGTCCTTCTATATTTTCCCCTAGTTGGCTTTGGCAGAGTGAATATTCGTTCTTGCAGAAATTCACAGACACTTGCAAAACAAGACAAATAACCTGCCTCAGGAGAGAGAGCTGAGCATGTTACCCATGCTGACTCACTTCATCATTGTGTGTAGCCATGGGCACACCATGAAATCCTTGCTGCCAGTTACCAAAGACTCCTCTCTCCCCAGTGAAAGCCTTTATGCTGCCTTCAGAACTATTTACCTATATGCTTACTCTCTTCACAGTTGAATTTTAAATGGGTGATGCAGACTTCACTGTAGTTGCTTTGCATTGCTTTGCATTTAGTATTATCACGTATATCTTTTCTACATCAGCAAGCAGGTTTCTGGTGTTCTGTAGAGTTTCACTGAAGGGTTGCCCTGTCTTTAATCAGTGAATTACTTAAAATATTTAGTTTATTTTTTAATCTTTATCAACAATGTGTAATTAAATCCCTTTATAGAAATCTCTGTATACTTGCTATTATACCAAGAAGATGCGTTTTTAGAAGTGGAGTTCTTGGGTCAAGGGAATATGCTTTTACTTTCCCCCCCCAGATCTCAGGCCTGTTTTGTTAAGAGATGTTTCATATCTCAGTCTAATATCCATACAGAAGAGTGCATAAATCATAATTCTATAGCTTGCTGAGCTTTCCCAAAGTGAACATATTTGTATAAGCTACCCAGGCCAAGAATCAGAATATTACCAGGAACTAGAAGCCACTTCCAACCTTTTCTAATTACTATCCTCAAGGGTAACTGCTTTCTGATTTCTAAGGCTATAGATTAGTTTTGCCTCATTTTGAGCTTTATATAAATAGAATCATACAGCATATATTCTTGTTTCTGGCTTCTTTTTGGTACATGTATTTAAAATATTTGATAGTGCAATGTAAAGTTTCCATTCCTTACATATTCTTGGCCTCTCAGTGTAATTGGACCCCGCTGACCATCCCTGTTTTGATATTTTTCTCCTTTTTGTTCCATGACATCATCTCCTGGCTTTCTTCCTTCATTCAACCTTAAATAGTTGATATCCTCAAGGAAGTCCCAGGCAACCTCAGCCAAATTCATGGCTTCTGTTAGCATTTATATTCCTATGACTCCTGGATTTAAACCCCTCTCAAAGACCATTTCCCTGAGACTCAGATATCCAACTTGACCCCATCACTTAATAGGTCTCAAAACTCAACATCCCCAAATGGAGCAAACAATCCCTTCTGCTCCTATTTCAGTATTTCTTATCTCAGTGGAAAAATACCACCGGCCACAGGTTTCACAACATGGATACCTGGGCATCATTCTTGACATCTCTCTTTCAGTGTACCCTGCAGCCATGAAATCCTGACAACGTTTCCTCCAAAATACCTCTGGTAATAGTGCTCTTCTCACCAACATCATTACCAGCACTTAAATCCAGGCTAAACTTGGATCATCTCTTGCGTAGGCTATTACAATAGCCTCCTGACTAATTTCCAAACAGATGAATACTCTGCTTCCAACGCTTCAACAGTTTGTATATTATACTGAAAAAGTTCCTTAAATCACCTTAAATCAGCATTAAGCACTAGTCCCTTCCTACTTCTCAAGCCCCTCTTTTCTCCTCTTTCTCCAGAAATTGCTCCACACATTCCTTAAAAGGGTCAGGAATTATATCCAACATGGTTATCTGGAAGATAAAAGTAAAAAAAAAAAATATAGGGAAATTTGGTGGAAAAAAAATCTCTTTCAAAATATGCAGTGCACTGTGGGGTGGTGATAGTGTTGAAAAATCCAGAAAGCAATGAGATAAAGGAATAATTGCCCCCAAAGAGTTTCAAACTGCTTCAGAGGCCAGTTAGCATAATGAGTAACAGTACTGGCTTCAGAATCTGACGAAACCTGGTTCTGACCATGATGTGGCCACTTAAAACCTGCATAAGTTTTGGTGAGTCATATAACACGTCTGAGCCAGAATTCCCATGATAAGATAATTCCTATCTTTCATAAGGATTAAGCTATATATATCTACTCTTTGGCACAATGATCAGCACATAGTTAAACTTTAAATAAACTGTACGCATGTTATTATTAAGAATAGAGTAAGGCTATAATATTATTGCCATATAGCAGGCAGGAATAGCCAAGTTTAATCAATGCTAAAGATAATGAGCATCCCTGGGGCAGGAACTAGACCATATTCTCCCAAGAGCTTTATGGACTCTGATTACTTGGTGTTCTTCCCTCTGGAACCAAGGATAAGTTTCCAGGTAACCAGTAGTCAGGATGAACTAAGCATATATTCACTCCCAAGGAGTCTTGTTTTTTTTATTAAAATGATTCTCTCCGTCAGTTTGTTTACTTCTCTCAGAATAAATACCTATGGGACGCCTGGGTGGCTCAGTCGTTAAGCATCTGCCTTCGGCTCAGGTCATGATCCCAGGGGCCTGGGATCGAGCCCTGCATCGAGCCCGGCATCAGGCTCCCTGCTCGGCAGGAGGCCTATTTCTCCCTCTCCCACTCCCCCTGCTTGTGTTCCCTCTCTTGCTGTCTCTCTCTCTGTCAAATAAATAAATAAAATCTTTAAAGAAAAAAAAAGAATAAATACCTAAAGTTGGATCTTCCCTTATCTTTGTAGTTGGGATTTTATGGCCTCTACTGGGATAAGAAAACAATATTTTCTCTACGGCTAAGTCAACTTTATACAAACTAGACCCATCAGACCATTGAGTCTGCACCTGCTTTTATTGCAAATGGAAGAACACAGCTGGTGATGCTTATCTCTTCCTTTGCAGTCCTTGAAAGATATATATACACAAAAGCAATTGAAGCCCAAATTTAAAAAAAACAACTCAGGATAAAAGACTGATGAAAGTACTTATTTAATTATTTAAGCATTTAAATTTCCTTTACAAAAAGTATACATGATTTAGTGACAAAAAAATAGATTGAAATCAAAATGACAGCATTCTGGCTCGACGTCTAACACCGATTACCTATAGTATCTTGAAAAAGTCATTTGTTTTCCCTGATCCTTAAATTTTTCGTATGCAATGAAAGATTTAAAGTTTATTATCTTATCAAAATTCTATGAGTTTATACATATGCATATATAAAATATGAAAAGAATGTATATATATTTGTGTATCTATGAAAACACATTTATATGTGCATCTGCATATCCACATTCACACTTATAAATGTATCATAGTTTCTTATGAGAAAGCAAGTTACAAACAGGTGATAGGTAAGGTCTAGTCCTATGCTGACATCATCTGTTTTTAGCATTTCAAATGCCTGTATTTTCATTCCTCCATCCAAGACCACTGAGCAGTGGGAACTTTTTAGAAATGCCAATTCTCAGGCCCTACCCCAGACTTGCTGAATCAGGGATTGTGGGGAAGAGGCTCCATCATCTGTGTTGCAATCTGCCCTCCAGGTGATTCAGAAGTGCACTAAAATGTGAGAACCACTGCATTCGAACATTCCCAGGGAAGAATGATAGGCTAGAGTTGTAAGCAGAAGTGGAAAACCAGTAATTAAAGGGGGAAAAGCAGGATGGTCTACACAGAACGTGGATCAGAAAGGGTAGGAAGAGTTTAGAGAGACATCGCAGCAGGCACAGGGGAGTGTTATTTTTGGTAGTGGGGAGCTGGCGTGGCTGTGAAAACCCAGAGCAGAAGCCCAAGCAGCAATAAGAAAGAGGTAGCCACATGCTCACGTGTTAAGTCATTGTTCTCATGCAGTCATTTCTACAACTGGGCTGAGAACTGCTGGCTTTAGAACCTTTTTCCTGCAGTGGATCCCAAAGGAAGATAATTATCCTCTTCTGTGCCATTGCTGTCTCTGACCCCTAGTTATTTACTGTAGAACCCTGACGCAGGGACAGTGAAGCCTTCTCAGGCTGATCCTACATGTCTTCTCCAGGCCCTTTTCAACCCGAGATTCTTCTGATTCCAGTTGGAATATTCCCCTCGTTGCCAGCTAAGGAGTGTATGTATGTTCAGGGAAAGGAAGAAAACTTCCTGGAGTTTCAGTGGCTAGAGGCGAACTTAGCCAGAGAAAGCTGCAGGGGTGAGAATAAGCCTATGAAAGCGACAAGGCAAGAACTCAGCGCGGACATTCTTCAGGAGGCTTATGGATGCCGTGTTGTCATCCAGGACATTGCCCTGACAGGGGAATCCCCGGCTTTGCAACTTCCTGGCCAGTGTGAGGGCCACCAGCTGGCTATAACCTTTCCTGCGATGCTCCGGCAGGGTATAGCCATGGCACATGGTGGCAAACTGGTCTGTGAGAGACCAAGAGACCGGGTTTCCCTTGTCATCACGGACACATACACTGGGGAAGCAAGAGATGAGTTTCACGATGTACCGGAGACACTGTTCATTGCCGCCCCGTGACCAAGTCCTATTGAGTAGATCAGCATCAGCAACATTCAGGTAAGTTAGTCGTGGTGAAGAAGCCTTTCTAGAAGAAAACAACATGAGAAGAAATGTGAACTCGGGGTCATGTGACTACAAACAGCTACTTCTCTTTTTGCACTGATTCAAACTGATAAACAATCCCAGAGATGTACTTAGCCAATACATAAATATTTTCAATGAATTAGAATCTATCACTTCCCACTTATGAACATCTTTCAGGGTTTCATTTCTGATAGGACAAAATACTCATTATATGAAATTTAAGTCTTTCTGTCTAATTTTACTCCCATTACTTATTGCCTTCATATAGATTAGGGCAAGTATTTCATTTTTCTGTAAAACAATTCTCAGACTTGCTCTTATTAAGTCCTGAGTCTGTTGATACCCTCTCTGAAGCCTTGAACAAGTCCAGATTCTTGGGTCCCCAATCTTTTCCTTGGTTAAAAAAAAAAAAAAAGTATTGGGATAGAACTTTTATCTTTACGTATCCATGGCCAGAAAAGAAATACAAATTGCTTAACATTCTAGGCATATTATAGATGCTCAAGAAATGCTAGTCCTTCTAGACCTTCCCCTAAAAGGTCTGGAAAAAGTCTAAAAGCTCATTATATTGAGATAAAGACAAAGATAAGAATTGCTGCAGTTTCTAAGAACTGAGATGGATTACTTAGTTGAAAACCTATGGTGCTGGTTTTCCTTCAGAATTTGCTTTCATTCTTGAAATTATCAATGTCATAAGACCATCCCCGGTGACTGCTAATGCCATTCTTGCTACGATCTTTATAAAGTACAGTTTGTGTTTTCTTTGTATTAGTGGTTCTGCAGTATTAGCTCACATTCTAGGCTTACTGTGGGCTCTAGCACTGGGCCAATAATCTAAACACCAAGCAGGGTAAAATAAATATAAGCAACAACAATCTTGATAGAATTTTTAATTTAATTTTTGAAAATGAACTTTAAAACAAAGGCTGAGAAGTCCGAGGGAAAGAAGCCTCAAGCAGAAATGTCACTGCAAATAACACCATTGTTAAGGCAAGTGTTTCAGGAGTAGTTAGATTAGTGACTATGACCTTATATCTGAAGGGCAGGGTATCCAAAATAAAGGGTATACAAATTTGGGTAGTGACTTAGGTGTTAAAGGCAGTATCTTCCTATGCAGAAGGAAGCAATTTAAAGCAAAATCTGATTTTCAAAGACCTGACTGGGGATAGAGAAAAATTTTAAATAACATCTCAGGGATATGACAGTAAAAGACTGGGAAACTCTACTCTAAAGGACACATAGTCTGGTTTCTTCAACAAAAAGTAATGTAAAAAATAAAAAATATGAAAGGGTAACCTGTATGTCAAAAGAAACTCAAGAGAGATACTGACCAATTGCAATGTGTGAACTTTATTTAGGTGCTTATTCAAAACCAACTGCTAGGAGCACCTGGGTGGCTCAGATGGTTAAGCGTCTGCCTTCGGCTCAGGTCATAATCCCAGGGTCCTGGGATCGAGCCCTGCATCGGGCTCCCTGCTAGGCAGGGAGCCTGCTTCTCCCTCTGCCTCTGCCTCTCTCTCTCTCTCTTTGACTCTCATGAATAAATAAATAAAACATTTAATAAAAAAATAAAAAAACTGCTAAAAATATTATGCTAATTTGGGAAATGTAAGTACTAACTGGTTTAAGGAAATACTGTTAACAAAATTATAAGACATTCTGCAGCACAGATTTGATGCCACAGGCTTGAGGCCTCTATCTTTAGAAAAGCCTGCTTGCCAAGTTGGCCCTTGGATGGCTTCTGGCAATTTGGATTTCTGCAGGGGTCCTGCTGTTCCCAGAACTGATATGAGGTTGGCACTTACCATGCCTACCTGTTTGTACAGCCAGTGTGGTTTATGATGAACACCTGCTTTCCCTCTTCGAGTCTAGAAAATTGGTATGTGCTAGGCAGAGGGTGCCTCCAATAAAAAATCCCAAACATTTTGTTACAATTTATTGCTGGGGAAATTCAGCGTGCCCTGTGTGACTCCATTGGGGAGGACTCTGGGAAGCTTGTGTCTGGTTTTCTCTGGACTTTGCCAATGCACCTTTTTCTTTGCTGGTTTTGCTTTATAGCCTGTATATGCTGAGTTCTGTGGGTTCTTCTAGCCAATCAATGAGCCTGTGGGTGGTCCTGGGGACCCCTTGTATAGGAGTGATATTAGTATAGTGGTTTTTTTTTTTTTTAAGAACCCTTATCTTTTAGAAATATATATTAAGATATTTAAGAATAATGGGATAATGTCTGGGATATTTCCTTCAGAATAGTTAGTAGATAGGGGTATGGATGAAACAAGATTAGCCATATATTGATGGGGGAGCTTCATTATTCTAGTCTCTCACTCAGCCTTTGTATGTGCTTGAAAATTTTAATAACTGAAAAAAAATAAAATAAAATAAAAATAAAGTCCAGTTGCTTTATGTGACTTAAAGTGTCCATTCTTCTTTAGGTTTAGTTTTTTTTTTTTTGCTCAAAAATTCCTCCAACATATTCCATAGAAGAAAAATAAACTTTCACTGAGGTGGGTACTTTTCAAGTATCATGTTTCATTTGTTTACAAAATTCATGTAAGAAAGATATTATAGGTTGATTTTCAAAAAAAGAGAAATTGATCAAGGCTCAGAAAGATTAAGCAGAAAGGAAGGTAACTAGCAAATGCCAGAGCAGGGACTCCCCAGTAAGAAGAAAAGAAGAATGCAGATAGACACTAATAAGTCTTTTGAAGATTGGATTCTGAAGTCAGAATCAGGAATTATTTCTTGGCTCTACAATTTACTCCTATGTGTTACTTCAACTTTGCTCAAAAAAGTAATTATACAGTACTTTATGGGATTGTGGAAAGGGTTCAAGAGGCAATATATTTAAAACATTCAGTGCCTGGCATATAAGAGCTCCCTATAAAGTCAGTTATTTACCCTCATCCCTGAAACATGAAAAAACACCAACCACTTTGGGCTCAGACAACAGAAGTGATTTAGACTTATTTGGAGGAGGAGCATACCAAGGAATGATTTTTCTGTGTATACTGTGAAAATATAGGACTCCTGAGCTCATTTATCACTATGCACAAAGACACTGATTTGATTTTGCAAGAAATTATGAGCAGTCAGGTGCAGCAGAAAAAAACACACACAGAACCCACAGACACATACGACTCTGTGGCCCTACTCCAAGCTACCCAAATATTCCTTAATAATACTAAGTATTTCAGGTACTGCTATTTGTACTTCTGTATACTAAGTCCCATCCCACATGTAGAAACTTGGTCTACATACAGAGCATTGGTGTCCGGTAGAGCTGAATGAGGAGAAAATTGAACAGCCTTGAAGGAAGTTAACTTTACACCTAACTGCTTTGAGTTGGCAACAGCATTGGAAACATCACATAATTCACTCTGCAGCCCTGTATATGGAAATACATAATGAAACATGTGGGTATTTTATTTGAAAGCACAAAAAGGAAATTCATAGCAGCATTTTTGTACTAAGTATCATCAATGTCACCAGTTTACCACCTTGTATTATCTTAACCTCTATATATTTATATATGAATTATTACAGCTACTCCTGGCCTGATTTTCAAACGTTGTGTGGGATTTTCAAATCCCCATCATGTTGTTTCTCATAATCATGATCTTCCATGAACATTTCTGATGGGAATATCCCTTAGGAATTTGGAATTGCTTGTGGGATTTTCTTGATTTTTCTAACTTCTCAGACTGATCTTAAACTCCTTAAAGTAAGAGAAATTTTATAACTCTAAAAGTAAGAGAAATTTTATAACTCTAAAAGTCTACAATCTACCATACAGCTAGAAGCATAAAAGAGCTCAGATTTATTTGGCATGGCATTCTGACTTAAAGAGTCTTCCAGCCTCTTGCCTAGATGCCCATTTCAGAAATGTCAAGGTATAAATTTAGTGTTGGTGAGATTTATCCTAAACTTGACTCATTTGGATCCTACTCATTTATCACAGCTATACTGTGTTATATATAAATCTTTATTCAGTTCTTATATGTAAAGTACTGTGCTGGGCACTGCATCACCGTGAGACCCAAGAATGGTACGGTCTCTGATAGAGCTCGCCGCATGGCATGTTAGCTTCTGTTTAGTTAGAACTGACTTGCTCTGCTTCTCCAAAATCCTATTGGCTCTATCTTTTCCAGTCTGGGTCCTGATTAATTGAATCCTCTGGAAATTGACTTTCCCATTTCCATCCATATCTAAAAGCTTGTTTCCTCCTTCCAGTAAGTCACTTCCTCTTGAAGAATACATGAATACATGAATAGGAAGTCATGTTGAATAGAGTCTGATATCTGAGGCTTGGCTCCTTTCTCAGGGAGTGAAGTCTAAGAAAAGATAAGCAGGTCTTCAAGTTAACGCTATTAAAAAGTATAAATGTTGTGGCTAGAATCCCATATTATAACCCTAATTACATCAAAGTAATTCAAGAGACTATGAAAAAAACAGCTCATGCTATTGAAGTGTATAGATGGTAGTTCAAACGAAATTTATTTTTCTTAAATTAGACTGAACTAATTCTTTCTAAAAGTCAGACTAACATTTCTCTAAAAAAAACTTTTTAAAAAAGATTTTATTTATTTGAGAGAGAGAGAGAGGGAGAGCATAAGCGGGTGAAGGGGCAGAGGGAGAAGGAGAAGCAGACTCCCCTCTGAGCAAGGAGCCTGATGTGGAACTCGATCTCAGGACCCTGAGATCATGATCTGAGCCAAAGGCAGACACGCTTAACTGACTAAGCCACCCAGGTGCTCCTTAAAAAAACTTTTTAAATTATAAGCTGTAGCAGAGAAAACTGCATAAAGCAAATGCATACCTGGGGTGCCTGGTTGGCTCAGTCAGTGAAGCATCTGTCTTCAGCTCAGGTCATGATCCCAGGTTCCTGGGATCGAGCCCCACATTGGGCTCTCTGCTCAGTGGGGAACCTGCTTCTCCCTTTCCCTCCCTGCCTGCCACTCCCCCTGCTTGTGCTCTCTCTCTCTGTCAAATAAATCAAATAATTAAAAAAAAAAACAAATTCATGACTTAATTATTACATATTTTAACTACTACTAAAGCCAAAAAATAGAAATTTACTAACCATCTTCTATTTACCATTCTCCTAATCACAATTCCCTCACTCTCCACTAAAAATAACCACTATCATAATTTTTATGACAATCACATCCTTGTTTTAAGTTCTATTATGCAAGTGTGAGTCCTTAAACACTATAGTTAGATTTTGTCCACTTTTTGTCTGGTGAATCTTTTAATCTACAGGTTTTCTTTCAATGCCTATTCCCCCTTCACCCCCCTTTTAAAAATTCTTTCCATTTATTTGTTAGAGAATCCAGTTTGCTGGGTAGAATTTCCATAGTTTGGATTTTGTGGGTGATCTCTCCATGGTTTGTTGACCATGTCCTTCTGTCCCTTGTATAGATTACCATTTTAACAAATGATTTTCTCCTTGCTCACAGAAGAAACTTTAACTAAAATTGTCCTACCTTTGTCCACCTTACCTCCTTAGAAAGGGAGGAGTTGCTAATTGGATAAGACAGAACTCAGACCATTTATTGGACCACAGCTAATTGGACTATAGTACCAGCAAAGCAGGCTTCTGAAATTTTTAGGTTAGTGCTCATGTCAACAAGCTCTCTCATGTCCATGCAACCAGTAGTGAACAAAAGAGCCTGGCCTGTCTGGATAGCTGTATACTTTTTCGTTCCCTGTCCTCTCATGGCCAACGCAGAGTTTGGCTCTTCCTAGTGGGTTAGTGGTTTAACCCTGATTTAATATTGTTTATGGATGGCTCTTAGATTAAAAATGACAAAGTCTTCCCATGCAGAGTGCGCTATTGCTCTGAATACCCAGCACTGAAGTAGATCCATTGCCTAATTTTTAATCTATCCAGGCAGCCCAACCAGTAGCTCTGTGGTTCAAGATAAAAGATTGGCCATTTTTATGCCAGTATTTGGCTTTTGGAGTTGTTTATGATTTGGAGATCTTATGGGAATAACACTTTTTAGGTCCTCTGGTTAAAAAGAGTAAAGATACTGATGACTTCTTAAAAGCTATTCAATATTCCAAGGATATTATAGTTCTTACCAGAGAAGCCTATAGCCAAGAGGCCACATCAGAAGCCAAAGGTAATGCCTACAACTGATTACATGCTAAATAAGGGGTCTTTACCACTCCAGCTATTTTAGGCACTATTAAGTCACATCTGTTCCCATCTAACTTCAGGAAGGATGACTGTGTCAATTTCAATGACTATGACTGACTCATGACTAACAGCTCAGCCTGCTTGGGAAAAAAAATACTGGCAATTACAGGGATGTTCTCTTCCTAATGATGGCTGCAGGTGATTTGAGGAGAGTAGGCCTCTAGCACCACAATCTATCCAATTCTTGCCACGATTTTTCACACCAAGGAAGCGATATACTTATTTCCGCATTACAGTAATAACAGTGAGAAAATGTTCCTAGTTTGGCTAAGTGAGTGGTAGAATCATGTCTCACGTCTAACCATAACTGGGGTAAATCTGTAAAAGTCAGAGACAGCTTAGAACTTCCACTATAACACCTTTGTGAGCATTTCCAAATGGATGTGATAAAACACCCCAAGTCTTTAGTTTATAAATATGCATTAATCATCATTTGCAGGTGAGAGGGCTTCAGCTGTTTGCTGCTGAAAAAAATTACCAGACTTTGTATTTCTAGCACGGGGGACCCTGCCTTCCTATCAAATGATCAAGGAACTCACTTTCAATGCAACAGTTAAAAATAGGAACTTCATTGACTTTATCACCCCCCCCCCACCAATCATCACGAAAAGTTGAAAAAGTGATACACTGAAGCTGAAGTTGTCCATGCACACTATCAGAAACTCTTAATGTAATTCAGTCTTGGCCAAAAGTTCTTCCACTAGCATTGAAAACCATGCAATTATCTCCTTGGATCTCAAATATACTCTTATCTCACTAAATCATGTCAGGATATCTGATGCAGATCAGCTAATTACCTTTTTCCAGAATCACCTGCTTCAGAAAGAAGAAAAGACCTACCTATTGGCTTATACTTAAGTTAGAGTCACTTTAAAAGATTGTGACAGGAAATGATTAAGAGTAATAAAGAAAAATATGCTGTGATGTTCACTGATATTCATATTACAATAACAGTGTGGGGGGGATGTCACTTGAAAGCAGCCCTATTTATTTATTTATTTTATTTATTTATTTTTTAAAAGAAGCCCAATTTAAATGGCCTCTACTTACCCCAAAGGTCAAGCCTCATTAGGAGTAAAACAAGAGTTCTTACAAAACTGTAATACAAAAATTGTAACTATATAAGATGTATATATATGAATTTGTGCACTTAAGTGTATATATTATCATATATGTGAAATAGATATCATATATATCTGATGTATATGACAAAAATGAGAAAAAGAAGACTGCCTAGTGTCTTGCACTTCATCTCACCTTGTATTTGAAAAACTTGATCCCAGTTGATAACATCATGTTCTTCCAACAGCCGTTGGTAAGCCCTGAAATCCTTGTAGAACACAGCATAGGCATTAGTATAATGGTCCAGGTTATCTGTCTCAGCCTGGGACAGAAGACATAATTGTAAAAACATAAATATATCCTCTAGGTAACTCAAATCCTAGATAGATTAGATACATTGGTTGCATATGTCTAGATCATTCCCATTACCAAAATTTAGCCACCTATAAACAATGGCTAGATGGGAATGTGGCTAATATACTATAGTGAGGAAAGGAACAGAAATTTTGGAATGTTTGCTTGATTATTCTTCTGGTATTTGAGAAGTTTTAAGATACTTATTTCATATTTTTTCTGGGATTTTATTTATTTATAAAAATGAAAAGGGTATAACTTAATGGAGCCACCTATAAGAATTAAATAGAATTCTCAGAACTTTCCTAATGTGGTCTGGGCAGCACATTTGATCATGTGAGCTTCTCTTTGTCCTCGAAGAATGGGACAGATGTCATCCTTTTCAATCTTCTTACATTTTTACCCACATGACCAAAGTCATCGGTTACAAGGAATCAGCAAACCAGAGGAAAAACGAGAATGCACAAGTATGTAAGCTTCATGCTTCTAGAGATTGTGAAACACTAAAGAAACACTTTTTTGAACACATTTAGACTAGCGGTTTTTCCATATGTCGGAAACTCCAAAGTGAGTCAAATTAGAAACCAACGGTGAAGGGCACGTGGACGGCTCAATGGTTAAGCCTCTGCCTTCGGCTCAGGTCATGATCCCAGGGTCCAGGGATGGAGCCCTATGTCAGGCTCCCTGCTCAGCACGGAGTCTGCTTCTCTCTCTGCCCCTCCCCTCTTGTGCTTTCTCTCTTATGCTCTCTCTCTCTCAAATAAATAAAAATCTTAAAAAAAAAAAAACTAATGGTGAAATATATAGCTTCTTAAGCTAATATATACGGCTGTGATGGTTATAATATCTCCTTTACCTAATCTTTTCTTTCTAGTTGATGCCAAGTCTTGGGTTTTGGGAGGGTGTTTTTTTGTTTTGTTTTGTTTTTCTGGCCTTTCAAATATTACCTCTTTCTGTCTCCGGGTGATAACAGCTTTGAAGTCTGGCCATGAATCCACTACCACTTCCTTTTGAAAGGGATTCCCACGATTCATGTTCATCACTGCTCCATAAACCTGAGCCAGAGAACCCAGAGAGACAAGCCAATCACATTACTAACTCTTTCAGTTGCATATTACTGTTTTTTTTTTTAAGATTGTATTTATTTATTTGACAGAGAGAGAGAGATCACAAGCAGGGGGGCATGCAGAGGGAGAGGGAGAAGCAGGCTCCCGGCTGAGCAAGGCGCCCGACACGGGGCTCAATCCCAAGACCCTGGGATCATGACCTGAGCCAAAGGCAGATGTCCAACCAACTGAGCCACCCAGGCACCCCTGCATATTACTGTTTTCACTTCTTCTTCTACTGTATAGTTGTGGCCGTAAGAAGGGAAATTATATATATGCACATACATGCAACATGCACAAATACAAAGTTTTCTCTTGTTATTTCATCACTGTACATGAAAACTGGTAAAAAGTCTATGAAAGCCTATGAAAACTCTCCCCAAACAGGTTTTTACTGTACAACAGTGAGAGGTACCAAAACAGCAGGCTGACTAGATGGCACGCAGCTCAATAATAAATACTTACAGAATGAATCAGAATCTGATGTATGGATTTAGGGCTCATAATATCTTTTACAAGTTCCACAGATAATTTTGGCAACCAGCTGCTTTTGAAGTTTATTAGACTCTCCAAAAATAACCTGTTTAATGCAACTACTCTTTCAACCATGAATTACAATTAAACATCACTGAGGGTAACCCCCTCCCCAAAAAAGCCCTCTGCATTTCAGATTTGTTGGAACAAGGCTCTGTAAGCATTCCCTGAGGGTCGTAACTATGTCTTATTCATTATTATGTACACGGAGTCTGACGTAGCAGATCAACTGGTTGTTGACTAAACAATATTGAATATTAGAATTCTGATCTGTGGCCTTTCATATTTTTTTCTCTACTAAGAATCAAAAGATGCCTGCCCTATAAAAGAACTTTCATATGCTATGGGTGCTTATAGAGAAGAGAAAGTTGTGGTGGTAACAAGGAGAGCTGAGCTACAGGCTAGTGTTCTTAGCAGCATTTTCATAACAGATAGAAACTGAAAACTCAGTGTTCATCAGCAGTGGGGAAAAATGAATAAATTGTGGCGTATTCATACTATGAATTACAAAACAGAAACTTAATGGTGAGCAAAAGAAGGTAGATACAAAAAGATATACTTTGTGATCCAATTGACATTATATCCAAAAACAGACAAAACCAAATTATGGCTTTAGATGTCAGAATAGTGGTTACTTTTGGGGAGCAGGGAAAGGTAATGATTGGAAAAGAGCATTGGTGGGCTGGGGATAAACTGTGTCTGAAGTAATGTTCTGTCTTGATTGGAGTGCAGGTTATACTAATATCTGCTCTATGAAAATTCATTGAGCTGCATAATTATGTTATGTGCACTTTCTAGTATGTGTTATACTTCAATGAAAACCAATCAAATTTTAAGGGCATTGCAACCTACATTTTACCTCTTTTATCACATCTCGATTCAAATCACTCACCTCAATGCCTAGAACATTATTCAACTTTCTTCTCTCTTTCCCAATCTGGGACCTCATTCAAATCTTGTTATAGAATGTATCTTTCCAAATTTAGTCTGGAAAAACTAATGGGTGACATGGATCACACTTAGTGAAAATCTGAAAACTAAATTAACCTGAATGGGTCATGCTTGCTCTGTTTAATTATTAAATTTTGGGGCTGCCGATCTTACATATACATAGTCATAAGTTTATTAAAATGTTTATTCCCATGAAGAAACTATACATCTTTATTAAAAAATGGAGCTTAAATATGATTGGAATGTTGAGAACGTTAAAAGGAAAAAAATTCCTTCCAATATTCAGATTGTGAAAGAAAAAAAAAATGACTTGTTTGTAAGTTCTGCAACCAACTGAAAGATTTGGCATTGGTTAAAGACAACAAAACAAACTCTTGTAACAGCTATTTATTCAAAGGGTGAGTGTTGAGAGGAGATGGGAAGTAGCTAGGGGAAGTAAGGATGCTGGAGTTGGAGTTTGTGAAGGAAATTTGGAGGGATATTTAGTCACTGAAATACTAAGATGAGGTAGGTGGGGGGATGGGTGAAATGGTGATGGGAATTAAGGGCTTCACTTGTTGTGATGAGGACTGGGTCATGTATGGAAGCATTGAATCACTAAATTGTACGCTTGAAACTAGTATTATACTATATGTTAACTAACTGGAATTTAAATAAAAGCTTTAAAAAATGGGATTATAAAATACATAGCCATGCCTCCAAAAAAATTGGAGGAAATGTGAACAACAAAACAATTTTTTCTTTATTTTTTTATTCTCTAAAGGGCATAGTGTACCTGAAGAGGTATTTTGAAAGTACGGTCAGAGAACTCAAGCCAGACATTATATAACAATGCAATAATTGAAGATAAAGAGATTCAAAGATAAAGAGACTCCATGTATAGAAAATAAGAAACTGGGAGTGCCAAGCTAAGCAGCTATTAAAGAGAAGATGATATGAGGAAGGCGTTGATTTGTGCTTACACATTTCATTTCTTTAACTCTTACTTCAAGTGGTATTATGAGAAGCAAACCTTTCAAAAAAAAAAAAAAGCCCAAAAAACCACAACCATGCAGTTTGGAATCTGATAGCTTGGTTTTAAATCTGAACTCTAGCACTTAGATATGGGGAAGGGATTTAGTAACATCATCTGTAAAATTATAATGTAAATACCTGCCTATTTAGAGGTATTAATATTACAGAGGGATTAATAGGTTTTATAAAGCTCAAATGAGATAGTGTGAAAGGTATTTTAAAAAATGATACATACTATTCTGATCAACTCAATTGGAATTCAGAGATCCTTAAAAATAAGATTTGAACAGGGAGGGTTAATAAGTAATTATTTTATAACACTGCCAGTGACCAATCAACAACAGTTTATTGAGTAATTATGGGCAAAGCCCAATGGCAAACACTATAGGAGGTGTCAAAAAAAAAAAGAAAAAGAAAAAGAAAAATCAACACCTACACCTGGGTATCTTGTAGCTAAGTTGCTGTAGGAGAAGCAGTAGATATGAAATCAAAGGAACTGAGATTTAACTGATTCTTTACTTGCTTTAACCTTTTTTGAACTCCAACTTAATCATTTCTAAAATGCGTTAATAGACATCTTACAAAGTTGTTGGAAGGATAAGATAAATTGAAATTATCTGTGTGCTAAAGTACTTTCCAAATATAATATTTATAATGTAAGAGCCCAACATTTGTCTTGATGATTATAAGATCTTAGGTGACCCTGTGAGGGTCACCAAAACCTTTTTCATTCTCTCTGGCAAAAGAGTGGGCCAAACATTTATTCACCAGAGTGTCCACATTCAAAATGGGAAATTTCGAGTCAGATTGTCCATTTGGTACTCTTTTAGCCATATGATCCCAAATTATCACACAGATTTTCCCTACCACACATAGTTTAAGCATGATCCATAAGGCCAGATGACTAGATTTAATCAACCCAGTACAGTGCTCTAGATCGCTTTTGTTAAAGTTTAGTGTAAATAAGGATTATCCAGGGTATGTGCTAAAAACACAGGTCTCTGGTCTCCATCTTTAGAAATTATGATTCATTATATCTCTTCTGGGTTATTAGCAGTCACTCACATTTGCAGTCAAATGCTCTTACCACTGAGCTATACCCCCCGCCACTCACATTTGAAAATCACTGTTGTAGGGCTATCTCCTCTGTCAAGAATCTCAGCCCTAAAAGACCATTTCTTTGCATTTTGCGTTTTTTTCTCCAAGTGCTTAAAATATTTTTAATCTCATATTTATTTGTAATCTTTGATTAATGTCCTCCTTCCACAGTATCTCTGAGTTGTCCGCAGGCCCTCATGGACTTTGAGGAGACTTCAACAGAGGCTTAATGACCAACATAGCCATTGAAAAAAACTTCAAAAATAAAGATGTTGAAATAGTCAGAAAAATTTTATAATGACTCCTGGACCTCAGCTCCACTGTGAACCTAGGTTATGTTCTTATGAGCAATGCTACTTAATCCATACTTTCTGCCATTAAAAATGTTTAAAACTCAAGTTTACCTTAGAAATAATCTAGTCCAGCACCTCCTAAATTTTCCTAGAAGTCATCTAGAATGACTGTCAAAAAAATAATTATCACAGCCGTATCTACGATGCATGGAATTAGTCTCCAGCAGGAGGGGACTGGGAAACTAAGTTTAATAAGTTTAATAAGAGAATCCTGACACCAGAAAAACTTGGGAAACAGCCACCAAGTCTGACATTATTTCACAGATTAATAAAATAAAGGAATAAAAGAAAGCTCTTAAATGTAGAATACCTTGAGTGATTCAGGGAAGTGACTCTTCAGCATTTTTTCCAGGGTCAGTAATTTGATAGAACAGTTGAGCACCAGCATCTTCTCCAGAGCTCCAGCAATCCCACACCTGATGAATAACCTGAAGGGATAGGTTTAGTTTTTGCTTGCTAACATTTGAGTCTCCTGAGGAACATCTTTGAGGTCCAGTTTTCACCGGGTGGAATTCGGAATGCCGTTGCTCCCTCTGATGAGGGAAAAAGATGGAAGATGAGAGATACTGGGGTGGGTAAACCAGAGGACACGTGGAAATAGAGAACGTTAATGACCTAATCCTGGAAAGAGCTGAGTATCCATAGTGGGTTAAGTCTTTATGCTCTATTATATCGCCAGCACCTACGGAGCCTGGCACAGAGTAAAAGGGCATTCTAAGTGGTTGTTGAATGGATGAGAGGAAGCGCAGAGTAAGAGTCTTAGGGTAAGCAAGGAAACTTCTTTTTACAATGTGGGGCAAAGACCAAAGACGTGAGTGGGTCACGTGTCGGGTGGTTATGGGAAACAACTTGCAGAGAAAAACCTAGGTTGAAGGTGAAGAATCAGATGTGAGCAAAGGCGAAGGCTCATTTTATTTAGATAAAATTAAGGAACGAAAAAGGGACTTAATATAATGTATGCAAATTCAACCATTCATATGCAGTTATGTTTTCTAGATTTAGGGGCTGCATATCCCCTGCTTTTTGTCCCTAAGAAAACTTTTTCCCCAACATTCCAATCAGGTCTTGACTGAGTGAAAAAAAAATTTTTTTTCTCTATATTCGATACAGTAGAGTTTATCCACTTACTCTCAGCAGCCAGGCATGAGGATGGCAGAGATAATTCAGCCAGATATGAGAACCTGGTGCTTCTGAGACTGTAGTGTATTGTTCCTGTACAGCACATTTCCCAGATAGAGAAAGCTACTACTTGATTTCACCATGTGGCAGCTCTGTGTGACTATAAGATACTCAGAGTGCTTGATTGTGATTTGCTTAAAATCCACCATAAAACTCTTGTTTTATGTTTCTTGTGATCCAGCCCTGTGGGTTCCAGTTTGCTGAGTGGTACACCTGAGGTGTTTGTAATTCTCTAATTCTCTCCGGGAGTCAGAAGAGATACTAGGGGCCAGCACCAGAAAATCAGGCTCCTGGACCCTAGTACTCATAGTCTGGGCCAATATGAGAAGCTTTACAAAGATCGAGTTTCCGGAGTTCAGGTTGAGCAAAGGAAGGAAAGATGTAGCCATCATTTTTTCACGCTTGTATCTGCTTGACATTTCACTCAACTCATGCTATCTCTAAATAAAATGTTAACTTTTTAGTAGAGCCTCATGTTAAATACATTAATTTATTCTAATTCAATATTTTTGAGAAAATAAGATAAAATTATTTCATAGAGAAACTCATCATGTATCTCTTATTACATCTGGTACCTAGAGATGTTATGTCCTGATACATAGCAAAGTAGCTAGCACAAACAGTAGGAATTCTAAGTGCTTGTTGGCAGTTTGCTTTATTGCCTGGTTTGTTCCCGAAAGTTCCTAAAACCACTTATAAACATAGGTAAAATATATGAAGAAAAATTGAGTTTAAATTAAAATTCAGGCAAGGGGAAAACAGAGGTGCAAATGTAACATGGGGTCAAGAGTAAGGCCAGCAGGCAAAGCATAAGGACTATCGTCCTACATACAGAGCTGATCCTCTTTATTTGTAGGATTCCATATTTGTGAATTCACCTACTTGCTAAAATTTACCTGGAACCCCCCAAATGAATACTGACCGTACTTTCGCAGTCATTTGTGGACATCTTTGAGTCTCTAATGGCAACGTTGTCAGCTGAAGTTGCAGAAGCTCACCTCTCGTTCCAGCTTTTATCCTCCAAACAAGCCCTTTATGTGATCTATTTGTGCCACGCTCTTTTGCAGTGTTTGCTTTCTGCTGGTGATTTCACTGCTTAAAATGGCCCCAAGCACAGTACTTAAGTGCTGTCTAGTGTTCCTATGTGCAAAAAGACTGTGATGTGTCTTACTGAGAAGATACATGTGTTACATAAATTTCCTTCAGGCATAAATTTTAATGCTCTTGACTGTGAGTTCAATGATAATAAAAAATCAACAACATGTATGAAATAGGGGACCTGAGTGGCTCAGTCGTTAAGCGTCTGCCTTCGGCTCAGGTCATGATCCCGGGGTCCTGGGATCGAGCCCCACATCGGGCTCCCTGCTCTGCAGGAAGCCTGCTTCTCCCTCTCCCACTCCCCCTGCTTGTGTTCCCTCTCTCACTGTCTTTCTCTCTGTGTCAAATAAATAAATAAAATCTTAAAAAAAACCCATGTATTAAATAATGTGTCGTTAAACAGAAATATACATAAAAAAGGTTATGTGTTGGGGTGCCTGGGTGTCTCCGTCGGTTAAGTGGCTGACTTCAGCTCAGGTCATGATCCCAGGGGCCTGGGATGGAGTCCTGCACTGAGCTCCCTGCTTAGCAGGAAGTCTGCTTCTCCCTTTCCCTCCACCCCTCCCCCTGCTTCTGTGCGTGCTCTCTCTCTCAAATAAATTAATAAAATCTTTAAAAGTAAATAAAAAAAAAGAAAAGGTTATGTGTTGATCTTCTGACGAAAACATTGTGACCAGAGGCTTGCAGAAACCTAATCTTATGTTTTCCCTACAGGCAGTGATCCCTGTGACTGTTGAACATAACCACCACAAACAATGAGAATCAAGCGATTTGCAGTAGGTGAGAGCACATTTTGTACTGTAAGCTTTCTAGCAGCCAACATAAGAGAAACAAACATGACTAATTACATGATTCAGTTTCTCCATAAAATTATTCTTAAGCCCTTGGGGCGCCCAGGTAGCTCCGAGTGTCGAGCGCTGGCTCTTGATTTCAGCTCAGGTCATGATCTCAGGGTCCTGGGATCCAGCCCCACGTCAGGCTCTGGGCTCCATGGGGATTCTGCCTTGAGGATTTCTCTCCCTCTCTGTCTGCCCCTGCCCCTGTTCATGCTCTCTCACTCACTCTCTCTAAAATAAATAAATCTTTTAAAAAAATATTCTTAGGCTCTTTACCATAGCATTTGCTTGACTTTTCACTTGTACTATCTCTAAATGAAGTTCTCTAACTTCTAAATAATCAAAACCCTCCTTGATCTGGCTTCGATATACCTTTCTAGACTGAGAAGCTCTTTCAATTCACAAATTATGCAGAGTGACAAATATCGGTGACATTAAAATCAGAGAGACATTTCTCCCATGGGTTCACAGAGAGAGGGCACTATGATTAATGAACAACAATGGACAATGTTCTTCTAGTAAACAAAAGATGAATTTCATAAGGACCTTTCTCTTATGAAATACAAAGATAGTTTTAAAGGCCACAAAGCAGATTGGAGAAATTCTCAAAGATGCAGAAAATATATTTCACAGATTTTTAAGTTATATTAGAAAGTCATAATGACAACCATTAATTCTGAGAACTACAAGATCAGAGTGTCATAATCTCACCAATCAATTATGAATTCCCTGTAAGTCATATGTGTTCTAGAATTGGAAGGTGAAGATTTGTAATTCCTCTGGCTGAACTGTTATCAACAACAGACTCACTAACTGAAATCTTTGTCAAGGAATATAATTAATTATACTCATTTAAGTTTTAGGAACTCAAGTTTCTTTGGGGCACTGAAGTGTCCATCAGCACACAACAAGCACCTAAAATATTTTATTAACATTAATCAGACAATGAAAGCATAACACTCCTGAGAGACCTTTCTTATAAATAAACAAAGTATAAGATTTCTGCTTTTATAAGGTAACATAGCACTTACAGTACAATGGGGGACGTTTGTTCATGAGGAAGTAAATTTTTTTAAAGCACTTGTGACCCAGTGTTAGTAATTATTTTTCAGATGATAGATTCCTCTCTTATCTGTTTCTCTAGTTGTACTCCTATCAGTGCAGATGATTTTATATTTTGTAATGCTTATTTTCTTCATATCAAAATTTAAAACGGATAAAAACAAGAAGCAAACCCTTTCCCGTAAACCTAACTATGATTTATCCTTCCTGTATAATGGTGAAATTCGTCTCTCCTATTTCTCCCATTTCTTCTTGCAATTATAATTAATGATTTGAAATTTGTTATTTTAATGAATAAATGCTTACCTGCTGCTGAGAGTTCAGTTTGTATCAGGTCAGTGGTTCCTTCTGCATAAATGGTGAGTTTATTCTTCGAGCCTACTTCCCTAATTAGTCCTTAGTGGAAAGAGGAGGGAGAGAAAAAAACAAAAAGGTGCCCACACCTGTAGATAGGGAGGAGTGTATGGTGTCAGGTGAAAATCATCATGCATACAGCACCAGTCTTTTCACTGAATCTCTTCCTTTCTCTCAGACTTAGACTTATGGTGTAAAAAACAGTGAATACTAATCTTGATTGAAAGATGGACATTTTCTAGACCCCAAACCCACTATCTGTTAAGATCTCATGAAAGAGAATAAAAAGGAATGGGACCCAGGTGAATGGGGTACAATAAGAAAATGACAGAGAGGTAACGACCTCTTATATATTTTCATCTTTTTTTTTTAAAGATTTTATTTATTTACTTGAGAGAGAGAGAGTAAGGCACAGGGAAAGAGCATTAGCAGGGGGCAGAGGCAGAGGCAGAGGCAGAGGGAGAAGCAGGCTCCCCACTGTGCGAGGAGCCCGACGCGGAACTCTATCTCAGGACCCCGGGATCACGACCTGAGCCGAAGGCAGACGCCTAACAGACTGAGCCACCCAGGCGCCCCTATAGTTTCATCTATTTTGAAGAAAATTATTTTGCTACCCTAAACTTCCAAAGTTGACAAAGGGATACTCTCTAAAGAGTATACTTTAGAGAGTGGAATTGAGACTATTTTTGATAATTTAATTCTCTTACCCTATTCTTTTAAATGAAAAGTCAGAGTTTACTTGCTTCCCTCAAATGGCTGCAATTTCAAGTGACATGTAGACACTTCCATGGGCATCTTGGCCCACAACACAATACCTCAGTTTTGGGATAATAAACAGTATGAATGTTTCAAGGGCATG